TATACCCCAAAACCATTAAACAAAGAAATGATACTCTAGAGAATGACACGTGGGCTGGAATGAGAAAACATTGCGCCCAAGGTAAAGAGGTCTATTCTGTGCCCTACACAACTTACCTCAAGATCCAACAACGCGTTACCAGTTGACGCCTTCTTCAATTCTTCCTCGATTTGTTTGTCTTCTTCTGCTTCTAACTGACTCACTTCTTCCTCAGTCATTCCAGTCTGCAGTCTCTCTCGTCGTTTCTCTAGCCTTTCTTGTAATCTCTTCGCATAGTCTTCTTTCTTTTCGCCCATTAATGCTGCTAAACTTGCTTCGTTTGCCAATGCGTCTCCAAAGACTTTTTGGAGCTCGTCTATTTTACCTGTTTTTAATAAATTGAATATTTTTACGCTGACAGTAAAAAGATTCTCTGATGATGAAACAAAGAAGCAGAGTTCTTTATAGGGGCACTTGGATGAAAATCGATGAAAATTGGAAATTACTTGAAACTTGGGTAAACCTATGTATATGGTCCCAATAGTAGCCAAGCAACATATTTCTTGACAGTCAAAAGTGGGGTATAATCGTTGTCAGTTTTATTCAGCAACTATATTGTGAGTAAATGACGTCATTTACTCAACCCTATTGTTCTTTTTGCTTTTAAACCAAAATTTCTCAACAGTAAGTGGCTTCCAGGCTAAAATGTTCACTAATCTGGTTTTCATAATCATAATTGAGTCATATTATCCTAAAATACTTCTATACAATAAAATACTTCAATTATTCGAACTTTCAAAAATTGGGGCGTTTTCATCCAAGTGCCCCTTGGTCTCTCCCTTGATTACAGGGTTTTGTTTCCGGAATTTCCGGAGTTTTTATCCCTTTTCAAAACCTAACACGCTTAATCCCAATAAGATCTGTGTATTACCCGTGCCCTGACTTAGATCAGCCGAGAGGTTGTTTCAGGGTTCGATCTGTGTATTAGCCGTACCCTGACTTAGATCAACCCAGAGGATGTATTAGGGTTCGATAAAGTTTTAAAGTCATACCAACCTTCTTTCTTGAGTCTTTTGGCCTCCAGTTTTAGCTGTACCAGCTTCGCCATGCGATCTCTCTCACTCATGGACTTCCATTCGGCTTCACCGAATTGTTTGATCAGTGCATCAGCTATCAGTTTATCTCTGAGCGCATCGTACTTGTCCTCTAATGCTTGGACTAGTTCGTCGTCTTTGGCATCGCCTACAGCCTCTCCTCGCGTTACCGTGGTGATGACATTCTTTAGTGATTGAGTTTGATGTGATTGGATGTGCTCTTGTTGTAGTTCAATCAGTTCGTTTTTGTCCTTTGAATCATGAAAGGATAAGGAAGTTAATTTAGTTCTTCACAATGGTATTGTGGATATGCACCTATTTCAAAAAACGTTACTTCAGTCGGCGATCTGAAATCTGAAATCTAAGATCGAGTAGCTCCAAATTGTAACATATTCACAGCCTAACAACATACGTTGTTTCTTTTTATATTGGAATATGAAGCATGACTTCTGAGTTAGAAATATTCGTATATTTTAGCCAGAAAACATAAAAGCACAAACATTGTATAAGTTTCGTATTACCCATCTCAGATCTTCGACCGAAAACGTTGTTTGAAGTAGGTGTATAAGCCGTGCAACAGATAAACAGATAGACAGACAGACAAACAAACAGGTACTGAAGCAGTCAGGCACACAAGCAATGAGACAAACAAACCGACAAGAGATGCTTATAGACAGACAGACAGACAGACAGACAGACACAGTCAGTCCGTCAGTTAGACCGACAGACGGACAAACAAACAGGAAGGTAGGTAGTCAAGCAGTTAAGCAGACAAGCAAACAGAAAGAAAAAAGACAGGCTTAGATACAGACAAACACAGGTAGACACACAGACAGTCTCACACAAACTAAAATCATCTTCTCACCTTGTCTTGCATAGCTTCAATCACAATCTCACTCTCCTTATCCTGTTCCTGTTGTAGATCAGCCAAGACAGAAACTATTACATCATCCCGCGGGACGGGTCCTTCTTCCTCGCGGGATTTCTGTAGGTGATTTCTTCGGTTGACAAACTTAACGGCCGCCGCTTCAAGTAGAATACTTTGCCTTTGTTCTTGGTCAGCTATTACAAAAGAAAATGTCAAAATTATGGTAAATTACCAGGATCATCACAAGATACGTCACATTATAACATGCAAATAAGGAAGAGGGCACATTTGTGACCAGCTATAAGTTGATTAAGTTATGCGCACGCACATGTCTGGGTCAATTTTTGACTGAGGACGATTTGGTGTTTTACACATCATCAGAAAGATATAGATTCTTTAATAAGACAGGGGTGGATCCATGGGAGGGGTGCAGGGGGTGCGCACCCCTTCCTGGTTCCACTTTGTACCCCTACTTCGAAGATAACCAATACTGTTCCACCCCTCCCTGGAATAACTTTGTGCGCAGCACCCCTCCCTGAACAAAATCCTGGATCCGCCCCTATAAGATATTCATGTGAAGCGGGGATACTATAAAGTCCATGCGTCTACTTTGCTCGTCATACCTGGGTCCACGGATGACAGTTTATCTTTGAGTTCTCGTAACCTCTCCTCGCATTGTTCTTGGGTCCAGTTGTCCAAGGTAGAAATCAAATCTTGCTGATCTTCTTGAAGTAGATCCGCCAATACCTTGCAAAAGGAAAGCAAACCCAAATGAACATTGATAACATATAGACGTTCAAAAGAAGAAAAAAAAAGAAAAAAAAGAAATGCGATGCACTTCCGAGGAATGGGAACTAGCCTCGTTTCGATGTTGATCAGCACAAGTCTCCCCCATCTTATCTTCTAAAGACATAAAAATGCTGTATACACTTATACCCCTATTCACACCTAAACGTGTTTAGTTAAACTATGTTTTCATTAAGAAAAAAACTGAGAAACTAGAAAAACTACAATATAATGAAACTTTCTAAATTATTGTCAGAGCAAGACAAAGGATAGCTTACATGCATTATTTTATCAAAGATTGTGCAGTGTTCGTAGATAGTTTTTCAAACCTGTTTAGTTAAACCACTTTAAAACATGTTTAAGCCTTGGTCTGAACGAAGTATTAGATTATTCCAATGAGAGTTGCTTCTTTTGTAAATATATATTTATCCCAAAGCATTGAAAATACTGCCAATCAGAATGAAGGAAATCCGTTATATATTCAGCAGTCATTAGTCATTGCGCCCTATGTGTTCTTAATTGTATTTGATAAAATATGTATTCAACTCTTTTTTTATTACGCCATGGAATATCCCACTTGGACATGTATTTTCTTATTAACACACTTGCCTGAAGGCTGATGTGCATACTAGAAAATACAATAGGCCCTTTGCAGCTCAGTAATCACGTGCTGATTAATTCACTGAGAGCAAATGAATGAACAKCTTGATTCCCATGGGTGAAATATACTGGTGAGCAAACAATCTTTCTACAACCTGTTTCGAGAGATCGTAATAAAACTGCATTTCGTGACACACTGGTTACACATCGTTTCATTCAGTTCTTTACAAGTAGCTAAAAAGGACACCAATTTAAAATAAAATAAAAACATTTGCTCACCAGTACAGACACGTGACCGTTAACTGCAAAGGGCCTTTTGGCTCATAAGATATTCCATGGTATGCCCTTAACAACATTGTATACAAACCTCTCTCTCATGCTTGTATTTGTTTTCTAGTATTTTCAGCAGATTTTCCTGCATGGCAGTGACGCCACCCTCGGTAATCAGCTTATCTTCAGTAAGTGGTTCTTTAGATTTACGTCCACGCCGCTGAGCAAGACGTTCGCGGGCTAACTGTTCCTGGCGTAATCGATCTTGTTTTAGCCTTAAAATCAATAAAGAAAAAAAAATGAATACATAGCTTTGGGTAGATGAATCGGATAAAACGTTAATATTCAGCAAGCCAGACTTGATTAACATTTGGTAAACGACGTTAACATCGGTGAAAACGCAAATATTTTGTTCTGGAGAGGACAAAAAGAATCGAGCACTTTTAAATACTGAATTTTTAGGAAAGAATAAAGTCATAATCAAAAACTTTATAAAAGTCTGGAAGTTGTTCAAGTAGAGTCTGATCATGACGGGAGATTCATTTAGTATATGTAGCCTATGATATGACTGTGGGGGCAAAGCGCGTCCATAATTGTAGGCTGGTAATACGAAAAATGAGATTTATTTTATTTAATTCAAGATAATAGAGCAGTTTTGGTATGACAGTGTAAAGCTCGGTGTCGTTTATGTGCCTTGCCACGACCGTGACGTTTCCTAGAATTTGGCCGATTGGCTAATTTCTAGCGCAATGTGATTGGTCTGGCAGTAACGTGACCGTGTCCGCGCCGTGTTCATGACGTGTTTCGGGTATCTGATTTGATGGAGAGTAAATCATTGTGCGATGTGATTGGTCTGACGTATGCCTCGCGGCGGTGTCGCGACCACGTTCGTGCCGCGAGCGTTACATATTCAAACGAAAACTGCTCTATTAAGAAAAGCAAGACACGTGGACCAATCACCTATCAGCAGCAGCAGCTTGGTTTCTTTCCGCTAGTCCCAGGACCAACGCAGCAGAATCGAACTTGTCTTCCTGCTTCGCTTTTAGTTGTTCTCTTCTTAACCTTGCTAATTCTGCTTGTCTTTGACGTTCACTCAAGAACCTTTCGTTATCTCCTCTCAGTCTTGCCATCAAAGCATCTTTTTCTTCGTCGAATCTAGAGAATCAGAAACTTTCAGATTGCTTCTTACATACAAGAGACAAAAGAAGTTAGTACCCAAGCTATACCACAATGCACCATAATCGCTATCTCAGAAAAAGAACTATGCATGCACAACCATTAAACAAAGAAATGATACTCTAGGGAATGACACGTGGTCTGTAATGGGAAAACATTACGCTCAGGGTAAAGAGATCTATTCCATAACCTATGATAACATTGAAAAAATAGAAAACGCGCGCGCGTGCGAGTGTTCTGCCCATCCCCAAGTGCTTTATAACTCCACACAGCACAGCAAGCAAGTTTTTAAAATATTTCTTTTATAAAATACATATTACATGAATGACGAAACTGAAAGTGCGCGCGCGTGCTGTGTCCTCTCATAAAGCACGCGCTCCCAACCAATCAGAGCGCGAGATTTAGAGCAGTTTATTTTAAAATTCTTAATATTTTGTATTTACCTTTTATCTAGAGCATCAAGTACATTAATGACATTAGTATGGCCTTCCTCTCCCTCGGCTTCGTCTTCGTCCTCGTCCTCGCTGTCATCTGGAGGAAGACCTTGAGCAAGACGTTCCCGTCTGCGAGCCAGTCGTTCTTTTAACTTTTCCTCGTGCCTATGTAAAATAAAATGTAACTCTATAAAACCTCTATTAAAATTAATTATCCTATTCTTATCAACCATAGAACAGGTTCAGGTAATGTGAAAAGTTATCATACAATTTCTTTTTATAACGTCCACCAATTCAGTATGAATATTGGTTTTCAGTTTTGGCCCACTGTCACTCACACACACTACCATTTATTATTCTATGTCAGTAATTTTTACGGTGAGACGAATCATATCAAACACTGAGTGTCGTATTTCCCTGTGTCTGTTCCACAAGTTAGCATCGTCCCCATGTCCTTTCTCCATTTTCAAAAGTTTTTCGTTTTTTACTTTTCTTTTTTTTCTTTTCTTTTCTTCTTCAAAAATGTTCATGTCGAATTCGTTATAAAACGACGGCCTTTTTGTTTGCCGCTTTTCCGCACAATCCAAATATGGAATTGATCATACCATATATGGAGTGAGCTTTTTCTACTCCAACTTCGACACTAATATATAGGGTAAAGTTTGATATGAATGAAGAACACGGAGAAAAAACCCTCATTGCAAGGGAGGAAACAACAAGTAAAATGAACTCTGTGTTTCGCCAAGCATCGAAACAAGCCACCCCAAGTTTGAACTACACAGCGTTGAGAAACAGTACTGTATCAGCGTATGTCGCCCAGTTACAAAAACGATCGATGCCCTGAAACAACCTCTGTGCTAATCAAAGTCAGTGCACGGCTAACTTACAGGTCTAACTGGAATTTAGCGCGTTAGGCTTTAGCGCGGAGGGATGAAAATCGGAGAACCCGGAGAAAAAACCTCGAGTCAAGAGAGAGAACAAAAAACTCACATGCGATATCGAGTCTGGGAATCTAACCTGAGACCATAGAGCCGAGAGGAGAGTGTACTACCACTACGGACCTTGATTTTTACCATTGATTTTAAATATGAGGGATAAGCCGTGCGAGATAGCAGCATGCTTACCTTGCTTTGTTATCTCCCAATAACTTTCTAAGATTGGCATCCATAGCGAATCCTTCACCCAGTAAACGAGCAAGTTCGTCCATTTTCCCCTCCTGCCGTAGTCTTCGTTCCTCAAGCTTGAGCTTCATTAATCGCTGTTGTCGCTCTCTCTCGGAGAGTCTCGCCCATTCGGAGTCTCCTACATGGGGAAAAAGAAAATGAACACCGTCACATATGTGCTTTAGAAAAAAATATTTTTATTGTTTATATGGGATTGGGAAATTAAGAATAGAAGAAAGCCAACTGAGAAAGGAGAGAGAGAATTATAGAAAAACAAAAGAAATGATAAAACAAAAGAAGGAACAAAGAAAAGACAGAAATAAGAAGAAAGGAACTTGAAGTGAAGGGTCAATAGAACGAATGGATGGGGGAAAAAGAACGAAAGGATGGAGATGGATGGATGGAAGGACGGATAGGTAGATGGACAAGGAACGGAGGGGAAAAAAGGAGGAAAGGAAAGGAAAGGAAAGGAAAGGAAAGGGAAGGGAAGGGAAGGGAAGGGCAGAGAGATGTCCTCAGTTTATATGTCTATATTTAATGTCTCGTTGTCAGAGTCTTAAGTAACTTCAAAGCTACATAACTCATAGGCAAGCCTTAATCTTGAATGCATTGGATTTAAACAAAAAATCTGACAGCATAAATGGAATGAAAAAGGTCGGTGAACTAATAATGACTAATCCCTCACCAAGTTGTTTCTTTAAGGCTTCCAGTAACAGTTTATCCTTCAGAGCATCATATTTATTATCCAAGGCCTTTAGAATCTCGTCATCAGTACCTAGGCCTTCATACCGCAGAAGAGTCGTAGCTACATTTTCGGCTACTTCGTCTTTGCGCGCTTGAATCTGTGCCTGACGCATTTCTGCCAACTGTGGCTGAGTCTGAAAGAGTCATCAACATACTATAGTCAACGTAATATCTAGTAGAATAACGGTCGACATCGGTTGTCTTTCCATGTTCTCAAAGCCAGATGGACAAACACTTACCATCTACTATGTGAGAGAGTCTTCTTTTTTCATAAGCAAGAAAGCAAGGAAGGAAGGAGGCGAGGAGGCGAGGAGGCAAGCAGGCAAACAGGTAACTAATTTACTCGCCACTACTACTATCATCAGGTCGGCGCTTACCTTATCTTGCAGCTGGATCATGATATTTTCCACCTCTTTATCTTGTTCTTCCTGTAGATCTGCCACAAGTGAAGTATGCACGTCATCGTTGGTTACCTCTTGTTCTCGCTCACTCGACATCTTGTGTCGACGAATTTCAACGCGGTAAGCTGCAGCCATATCAAGAATGTCCTCGTGTAGCTCTTGATCAGCTGTTTAATGAATAAGACAAGAGAATTCCATTAGCCAGGCTTACATTATTTGTACTCTTAAATTATTGTAAACTAATAATATCATTGTAATTTCCCTTGGAGAGAACAATGAGGAAAAAATGTGTTTAAAAAACATAAAACTAGATCAGCATAAAAGACCTATCTAGGCAGACGTAGTTCATTCATTCTCTCCCGAACAGATAAATTTGGTACGGATTTGGTACCATGGCCTTCGACTCTCGCTTCCCTTATTGACCTAGCTTGGGGTCCGAAGATAATGGTTTTACTTTGGTCAAAAATAGTAAATGCGAAAAGGATTCTTGTAGTAGGGGTATCAAGACTTAATAAGACTTAATAATGAAAAATTGTCATTGATAAAACAATGCACGACTGAATTTGCATTTAGAACAGTTTTCGAATGACTGTGAGGAGCACGCGGCACAAACACGGACGTTACCGACGCCAAGGCATACTCGGCCAGCCCAATAACATGGAATGAAAATTTGCTCTCCATCCTATCGGATACCGGAACACGGCATGGACACGGTCGCGCCAAGATCACGGCACTGCCAGACCAATCACATTGCGCGAGAAAAATATCTCCCAATCAAAATTCTAGGAAACATCAATCACGGTCACGGCAAGGCGAGCACACGGCACCGAGTTTTTCACAGTCATACGAAAACTGCACTATTGGTAACTGAATAGCCTTAAACCTATATCAAAGATACCTTTGACTCCAAAGTCCAGTTCTTCCCGTTTTTCTTTCAGTTCATGTATTTGTTTGTGCCTCTTTTCTTCTCCAGCTTCTCTGGCCTCTTGCCTCAAGTCTTCACTGCTTTCGTCTAGCAGTAGACTCATCAACATCTCCTGCTCGGCACGGTGTTTCTTCTCGAGGGCTTTGAGAACGGCGTCATTCCAACCACTTATGTCATCTTTTTTAGAAAATATCAATAACTATTAATAACTATTACCACGATATAGTAGTTGCATTACACTTTTTACCATCACTACAGCTATAACCACGTTTTATTCATCTCATCATACGGAATGATACAAATTAAAATGCTCTTTTAAAAAGTTGGTTTTAAATGTTTTTCTTTAAGGGTGATGAGGGTGGTTGATGACTATGATGATGAAACATGATGATGATGATGACAATGATGATGACGATAATAATGATGATGATAATAATGATGATGAAGACAATAATAATGATGATGATGATAATAATGATG